ACTGGATTGAGATGGGAACCAAAGTTTTCTTGGGCTCTACACTGAAGCGTATCAGTCCTTCCTGGCATGCTTGAATTTCTAAAGTAAAAAGAAATTTGAAGGAAATAAATAATGAAATGTAGAGGATATAAAAACAGACCAAATAATAAAAATAGGAATGAAAAAGTAACAAAAGCAGAAACAAATCCACTGGAAAGCAAGCAAAAAGAAGAGTAGATGGGCCATTTGAAAGGGCCATTAAAACAAATGTCCTTCCAGGAAGCTACAACGACACAAAGAGAGGGGCAGGCAAGAGAAAGTAACCCTCTGGTGCCAAGAAGTGAGGAACTAGACAAGCATTTCATAGAAAATATTTAAAATTGCATGTCTCTGATGGGCCACTCTGCACTAGCGAGTTCAAAAATCTGGGTGTAAGACCAGTTTGATGACCAGGTCAGTGGTCCGAATTAACAAAGAAAAAGATTCTAGTCAAAAATTGAACAAACCGGTAATCGAGGAAGTCACAGAAAAAGTGGCAAGGAGCCACCTAAATGTGATGCCAGGTCGGAAAGATAATTGATAGATTATTTTAAGTATTTTTTGGGGGGAGGCTAGATATCTTTTAATGATGAAATTATTCAAGAAAGTAGGAAGAAAGATCTGATTTTTCTGTTTCTTTTACAACACCAGCAAAACCCAAGACACTGCCCGGTGAGTCGGCAGGGTGCCTCTATTTGTGGATATGAGGTAGTGATGCTAAACAGAGTCCTGGCAAGCTCGCAGGGCTCTACGGGAGCAGGTGTCTCTGTGGCTGAAGGCGAACTGTACAGCTTCCACCCCAATCAAAAGAGGAAAGATAGACCACAGTGCGATAAGCGGAAAGGCTTTCAATAAACAGCCGCCAGTTTGTGGTGTGGAAGCCTCTCAAGTTAAACTTAGTGACATATATTTTCTTAATATGATAAAAACCATTTTAATCTTAATGTGGTAGTCAATATCCTACTTAGCAGAAAACGGGGAATTTATTAATATCTGGAAAAAGACATCCAAACCCTGCATTGTCTCACAACTTACTAACATTCTGGAAACTCTAGTCAGCAAAATTAAAAAAAAAATAACATAAGCGGTAGAAATGTTTTTAAGGGAAGCCTGTCCATGTTCCGAGATCACATGATTAGAAGCTCAACGTATGGAATAACTGTTAGAACTAAATGAGAGCTATAGAAGATCTATAAGCTTTCCGGTTATGAAATAAATGTGCAAAAGTCATGACTTCATATAAACAACTAGAAAATATATTTTACCAATGACTTAATTCAAAATATGAAACAAAAGTGTCCAGGGACTGAATCCTCTCAGAGCTCCCGGCCAGAAGCCTGTGGGGCCCACCTGGTAGGTAGTACTGAACCACCTTCTGGGCCTGGCCAGTCCCTGCAGCTGCTCACCCTTCTGTCTGTGACTTGTGTCCTTCCTTCTGTGGTCCCAAGAGGACCAGTACGCTTCTCCTGGTGATATGGGGACAGGAGAGTCCTTCGATGTCATCTGCCTCCATTCCGCCACCACTGCAAGTGTCCCTGTGCTGTGCCAAGGCCCGGCCAGCTCTGGTGACACAAAGATAATGAGCTGGAGTTACTTTCCCCTGAAGAGAACAGGGCAGAGGAGGAAATACATCATGAATAAAACCAGCTCCAACATAGCCCAGTCACTTGGCCAGAAGGGAAACTGAGGCTCACGGGTACCACATGGTCTCCCAGCCTATGTGCAAAGCAGGTACTGATGTCCCCCTGTTACCTCACAGAACCCTTCTGGGGGCACACCGGGGGTGGAGAGCTACACTCTGCCCTTCTCTGTCACCGGGTCACTCTTCAGTTCTAAACCTGACTGTTCCCCGCGCCACAGTAACAAACGTGTCTCTGAGCTCAGACACCTGGAAAAGTCAGGCATGTGCAACATATATGAGTGACTGGCTTCTCTTCACCTCGTGGGCAGTGACTCCTGGGAGAGATGTGCAGAATGAGAGGTGTCCGGTCCCTAGAGAAGGGCAGCTCTGCCCTGTGTGAGGACAAGGGGGAGCTGCACAAGTGGGGAGAGCCAAAGTGCAGAGGGGAGGGAGGAAGAGGCAGGAGAAAGGAAGAGAAGGGGAGGAGGAGGAGAAGGAGGAAAAGCAGGAAGAGAAGCTTCCTGGTCACTCCCCACTTCCCCCGAGGAAGCTCGCAAACCCCTCCTGAGGGCAGTGGCGTCCCCTCCTCTGTGCTGGCCCTTCCTGGTTCTAGGTGCCCTGGGGCAGTATCCTGGGTGATGGGGTTGGGCTGCCTTTCAGCTCTGGCACCAGGCAGGCGGTGACACCCAGTAGGCTGAGCTCCATGGTGGCTTGGGAGATCTCCAGAAAGGTGATTTCTGAAGAGAGCAGGTCCTCTGCCGCTTCAGCCATGGATAGACATGGTGCCCCCAGGTGCTGTGTTCCCAGGAGGCCTGCGGGGCCCGTGCTGCATGTGGGGATCAGTCAAGGACAGAGAGACTCTGGCCAGTGCTTGGAAGTGTTGGCAGAGCTTGGGGCTCAGCCGGGAAAAGTGAGTGAGTCCAGCCTCGCAGAGGGAGCAGGGTGTGGCAGTGTCCTGGGCATGGTTGCTGAGACTAAGCAGGGCCATGTGCTACTGCCCTGTGTTTTCAATTACTGTCTCTGTCTTTCCCACTTTGTGTTGGCCTGGGGGTTGGCAGCCACCTCAGGGCCCAGCCTGGCTTCCCTGCTGCAGCCTTTGCGGGTGGCTCTTCCTCTCCAGCTCTGGCGGCAAGGCTTGCTCTGTAAACCAACCTTCTTCTCCCTGGGGAATGGTCCCCTCTGCCCTGTGGCCGTGGAAGTGGTGGCTACCTCCAGAAAAGCTGATTGGAAACACCTGATGGTGCTCACCAGCCTCGCATGCTAGCGGTCACAGGGGTCACTGCTTCCACGGGGGAACCGGTCCCTTGTTTGTTTGAATCTTCCCTACAGCTCATCCCTAGGAATAGCACTCTGTCTAGTTCTGGGACCACTGATGCCCCACCAAGACAGCAGCTGGGGCAGAGGAGGTTGGGTTTGCAGTCCAGCAGTCCACGGGAACTGTGGCCACGGGCAGTGCTTGGTGGAACAAGAACAGGAGATCCTGGTCCAGAGAGGGGTGAGACGGGGAGAACTGAAGCTCTCACCAGGGATCATGCCTCTCTCTTAGGCTTGGAGTGGGATAAAAAGCACTCAACAGCTCTCTTGGCCTTGTTTGTCATCATTTTCCATTCCTTATGCCAGCTACATCAGAAGGAAGAACCATGATTCCACTGTCCTTAAAAACAAAAAAGAGATCCATTGCTTTATATAACTGAACAGATGTGGTTCAGGCACAGCTGCATCTAGGTGCTCATTTAATAACATGTGAACTCTGTCTCTGTCATGGTTTGTCTCTGTGTCTCTATGAGTTATCCTCTTCTTTCTCCCCACCCCAGTGAGTTCCATACTTCCTGTGTGGAGCTGTCAAGCCATTCTCTTCACCTGGTGACTCTCAGCAACTCATATTTACACACCCCTTGTTTACTACTACAGGAAGGTTTTCCCACAGAGCAACACACACACACACACACACACACACACACACACACACACTTCTTTTCCCCCAGGTTCTGGGAGGCTGTGGGCATCTTCCAGGCTCGGGCACTACTCCCAGTGGGAACTGAGTGTGCAGAGTGGCAGGAGTGCGGGCAGAGAGGCTGCGGGCAGTGAGGATGTGAAAGGTGACCCCTGAAAGCCAAAGCTTCCAGTGAAGAAGAATACTGCCCCAAGTAGAGTGTCTGTGTATCCCAGCGGTGTTGGGCACCGGCACCCGCTTCCCAACACACCCGCAAGCACACCTGGCCCTCTGGAGGTTGGGCTCACTTGCTGGAATTCATCTGAGGCCGAAGTGGAGGAGAAAGAAGTGGCCTGGCTGGGCAGGAGGGTGGTGGGGGAGCCAGTGGGAGGCTGAGGAGGGAGGGATTGGCGCTGCCAACCAACAGGGACCTGAGGCAGACAGCATCCCATTTGTAAGACCGAATAAGCCCTGGTGTAGTGTGTTTCCCACCAGTGACAGCTTCAGCATAGAGACAAAGTGAGGTGACAAGAGGGGGCCGTAATTCATGATAGTGGAGGGCCCAGGCCCCACAAGGATTGCCGGGGAACTCTTGCCTCCTCTAACTGAGTTGTCTGCCTCCTAGCTGTCTGAGTTTTCTGGAAGGGGGTTGGTATCGGCTGACCCTAGACCAGGGAGGCTGTGGGCCTCATGGGGAGCAGTCTGGGACCCCTCAGCCTGGAGAGTTTAGTCCTGGGATTGAGAATGGAGCAGGAGTCCTGAGTGGCCCTGCTGGGCGGGGTGTGACCTTGGGGCCCTGGAAGGCAAGTACAGCCAAGTCTGCCTCCCCCACTGTGCTCCTCCAGCTGCCTGGGTATTGGGTGGGACCCCAGCCGCCCAGGTTCTGGGCTCTTGGGAGGATGTAAGTTAGAGCTGTCCTGAGGTTCTAGGGTCTCCATGGAGGTCAAAGGGGCACTGGGAGGAGTAAGAGGGGCTGTGTGGGTGTAGGCATAGTCCTCCCCGCCCCTCCTGTCTGCTCTCTAGGCTAAGCTCCCCTCAGGCTTTGCTTGAAGATTGGCTTCCAAGTTGAAACATCAAAGTGCTGGATGCAGTGACCCCAGAACTCTCTCCTGAGATGCTGATTATGTCTTCCAGTGCATTGGGTTCATACATCCTTCCCCATGCTTCAGGTTCCCTACCTGCAGCCTGAGGCCTGGGACAACAGACCTGCTGCGCCTAGTCTCTATGAGCCTGAAGTACAGGGTTGTGGACCAGCTGGTGTAACTAAGTCCCACGTGGCAGCAGGCTGGAAGGGCTCGGATCCTGGAGGATGATCTGCCCATCAGTTCTGCTTCCTGGGCACCAGTACGCAGCCCAGTTCCTGGACTCGGTCCTGCCCCACTGTCCTGCAGCAAGTCACAGCACTTCTTCCCATTTCCTCCTCTCCAGGCACTCATGAAGTGGTGGCTAAGCCCAGTTCAGCTGCCACCCGTCTGCCCAGGGCCAGAGACCAGGAAAGGAGGAAGGGCAGCTTCACTTCCTCTCTGAGGATGGAGCCCCACAGCCGTTCTGCAAAGAGCCGAAAATCCACCAAGTTCCGGGCCATCTCTCGCTCCCTGATCCTCTGTAATGCCAGGATGGCGGACGACAGCTCCAGCCCGGATGAGAAGTACCCTGAGCCCTTTGAGATTCCACTCAGCCAGGGAAAGGAGGGGAGTTTCCACTCTGCTGTGCAGCTGGCAGATACGTCGGAGGCTGCACTGGCCTCAGAGGCTGCTCAATTCCAAGCAGTTGGGAGTGATCGTGGCAAAAACAGCAGGAAGATGTTCTTCATGAAGGTATGCCCAAGGTTTGCGGGGCTGCGGAGCCTGTGGTTAGTGTTGGAGCTGTTAAAAGTCTTTAAGTCATGTATTCAAAGGCCAGGAAGCCAAGGAATTCTAATTCTATATGACAGCAAGGAAAAAGTCAAGGCAAGGCCTCCTGGAATGGTCACAAAGAGCGTGGTAGCGAATTAGGCTCAGCCACCACTTTTGTTTGAGAAATGCTGCCAAGCACTGTGTCTGTCCAAGATACACCAAGCCTAGATCCCTGCTGGGAGAAGCCAGGTGCAGGGATTTGTACAGTGGGAAGCTCTCGTCCTGAGAAGCACAATGGGCCCATAGTGAGTGGTCAGTTTACATCTGTCCTGAGGGCTTCAGACCCAGGGATGAGGGTGAGGCTCCTCCAGTGCCAACTCCAACACAAGTGAGGATATGGAAGGTGACAAGTGAAGCTGTGAAGTGGAAAGGGGATGAGGTGGTGTTCGGGAACTTGCCAGAATCTAGAGTGCCTTCTCTTGGGTCGGGTCATATTTCCCATTGTTACTGAAATGACACTGCAGGGGTGTGTGGGATCCAGACAGTCACTCCCTGCAGAGCCCCATGCTTTGTGCCTTCTGTGGAGGAGGGGGTCTCTAGGCCCAAGCCCAGGGACAGTGCTGTGCACACAGGGATGGGCTAGGTCCTTTTGGTGGTCATGCGACTATGACCAGCAGGCAGCACTGAGAAAGAAAGGGTCTAGGACCTTTGATCAGCTGGTCTCCTTCAGGAGGAGGCCACTGGTTGCCATGAAAACAGCATCAGGTAACATGACACAGCACATGGAAGGAAGGCCTGCTGGTCTGCAGAGCCAGTCACCACATTCCCCCAAAATAAGACCTAGCCAGAAAATACAGATCAGCCTTGGAAACTAGAGAGTGAAAATGCCTGCCCAATCAGCTCATCTTGGCCACTCTTGCCATCACTACTCTTTTGCTTGGTGGTGGCACTGTAAGGCAGGGAAAGCCGGGATGGGGCTGGCATTTCTGGTCTCTGGTCTTCAAGGCTGATTATTTTTCAGGTAGGTCTTATTTTGGGGGAAGAAGGCAGCATCCTTAAGGTCCAGATTCAGGCTTCTCTGTCACTCACAGTGTGACTCCTACTGATACACCATGGACTTACCTGCTGGAGTAGGAGAAGGCAGCATCCTCATGGCCTGGGGAAGGCTGGCCAGCACTAGGTGACCCCAAATGACGGCACACAGACACAGTTGGCCACAGGAGAGTCATATTTATGAATGGTGATAGGAAAGCCACTGGAGGAGCTCAGATGGGTGAGTGCCAGTCCTTTCAGGATCCCAGTCGGTGCTTGAGTAGGCTTGCATCTCCTGAGCACCCAGCGTGTGTCAGTCACTGAGGCAGCAAACCCACCTCTCAAAGAACTTGCACATAACAGAGTAAAAAATGCCCTGCAAGAGGGTGGGGACAGCCAATGCCTGAGGCAAAAACACGCACATAAGGGTGGGGTATTTGCTTACCAAGCCCAGAGGGGGAGTCAAGCAGACCTGTTCCTGCCCTCCGCACCTTCTGCTCTGGCCAGGAGGTACAGATCTTAGGGGCCACAAATGACATACATCAAATAATGTGAGGCCAGGAGGAAGCAGGAAGCAAGAAGAGGGGGTGCAGAGCGAGGGGGAGCAAGCTTCACATTTCCCATCTCTCTGTGACCCTGAGGTGCTGCTTGCTGTGACTTAAATCACAATTCTTACGTCATTTTCCTTGGTCCCCCAAGGTCCGAAGAAGAAGACGGTTGTAGCAGTTTTGGTGGACACTATGGCACAGGCTTTAGGAGTTCGGTCTCCTTCCTCTGATGGTCTGGCTTGGAGTCTAGCTCCTGCTCGTGTGACTGGGACTATTCACTTTAGTTTCTGCGCCACACTTTTCTCAAAACTAAAGTGAGAAAGTTAATAATAGTGTAAACTTCACTGGGGTACTATGAAGAGAAGGCTGTGACAGTCACACGAGAAACCCTACTTGCTCCAGAACAGCCCACATAGTGATTGCTTGGGAAATGATTACTTTTATTTTTAAGTATCCAAACACTGATTCAGAATAAATAAACATTTAATGAGAGCAGTAGCTTTTGTGGAGCCCCATCTGTGTGCCAGGCTCAGAGGCTAAGTAAGGGTGAAGCCAGGACCATCAGGTGACTCTAGAGGTACCAGTGTGGGAGCGGAGGTGTCAGCCTGCACATCAGCTCGGGAGATGGCACCCTGGGGTTGTGTTTGTGGGGAGCAGGATGCTCCAGAGTCGGGAGAGTGTGGCCACGCACAAGGGGCCCATGCCTCGCCTGGAGGGGAGGTAGACAGAAGCAGCTGGAGGGATGGGGCTAAGTCAAGTTTGAGGCCAAAGTGACCTGGGGCAGTGGTGCTCAGCGTGGGCCTCAGGTCTTTTGTTTCTTTGAAAGCAGCAGGTGATTCTTAAAGGGCCACTAGTGACCTGTGCAATGTCCACTACTGCGGTGTCCAGTGTCTGAGCAGATATTGTGGTCAGGATTTCAGGTCAGAGTGGTCAAAGGGCACAGCTGGTATCAATGTCCTTTTTGGAGGCACTCAGAGTCACGCAACCCCTCCTCCTTCCGGGCAGGGGCTCTCAGGTTCCTGCCCAGCTGGACCCCTCCTCGCGCCAACCTGGGCGGCCCTGCAGTCGGGCGTGACTCGGTTGGCCCAGACAGACTCAGCAGTCTCCAGCACTGCCATGGTTACACGGTTTCAAAACAACATCTGGAGTGAGGCCCTGTGACATCAGCCTGTATTCCAGAAACGCCTAACTTGAAAATTACAGAAGAGGAAGTTGTATAAACATTCAGCCTGAAAAGAAACGGCCTTGTAGGGCTGATGGTGCTGGGCAAATGCCATGAATACAGAGCCCGAAACCTGAGCCTGAGATCCTGTCAGGCTCTCCCTGGGGGAAGAGGGCTTTGACCTTTGGGGGGACCCACCTGGTAGCCAGCTAGCGGCCAGGCTCCCGAAGGCACAGCTTCCATGGGCGCATGTGGGAGGAGGGATAAACTGCCTCCAGCCTTTCTTAAGCAGAAAAGGGATTTTCAATGCCTTTAAGCCCAATGCTGAGCCCAAGGGGAAGGACACACTGCTGGGCAGAAGCAGGGCTCCCCAGCCCTCTCCTCTGGGCCCTTTCTCTCTCTTCCCCATCTCTTTATCTCTTCAGACCTGTTTTGAGCTGTGCTCTGGGGATAAAGAAACAAATCTGGTGCTGGACCTGCAGGGAGCTTGCTGTCCAGAGGAGCTGAATGAACAAGATCTGCCCTCCCCAAGCTATGGTTTTGCCAGTCAGTTTCACGAGGAGGAGATCCATGCCCATGTTCTGGGGTGTGGAATTATGTCCCCCGGGTAGACCCCAGGCTACTGGCTGGCCTGTTTTCTGTCACTGTAACAGAGAAATGGAGATGGGGTAGTTTATAAAGAGGAGAAGGTCGGCTCACTGCTGTGCGGTCCGGGAAGGCCAAGGGCACAGTTTTTGTCCTGTAGGGTGACTGGGGGGAGGCAAAGGAGTGTGCACCTGTATAGGGGCAGAAGAGACAGGTGAAAGGAGCGGACCGGGTTTGTAATCAACTTCTGCTGGAACTGGCCAGCTCTGGGGTGAACGCTACCCCAAGCCAGCTTCGCAGCACCGGGAACTCAGGTTCTCATTCGTAAACTTGGGGAGCACATTCCAGCCATGGCAGTTGCTTTGCCTTTCTGAGAGCACTGGGTGAAGTTAGGATTTAAGCTCTTGGAACCTGCCAAGGAGGGTTCAGCTAAGTTATGATGCAATGGGAGCATCTCAGAAATGGGCCAGAAAGCTGGGGTCAGGCCCTGCTCACGGTCACCTTTGCCCATCTCTGCAGAAGGAGAGCTGGAAGGGCCAGCAATGTGGGAGCCACAGTGTGGAGGTGGAGCTGCAGACTGGTGCAGCCTGGAGCCAGCTGCTGCTTGTGGTCTTTCCTGGGGCCGTGCCCTTGTCCATGGCCAGTAGGTCCTCGCTATAGGCCAGAGGCCACCTGGTTTGGCATGGGGTCCATTTCTGGTTTCACTATTCAGACCCATCAGCACACAGTTTTACATATGGTAGCCATATACAAGACTTTAAATGTCTGGCCATTTAGGCTTTTCAAACTACCCTTGGTTATATTGTTGGAATTTTTGCTGGAACTGCACTGACTATAGATCCACTTGAAGAAGGCTGACATCTTTATAGCATTGGATCTTCCCACCCATTACATGCTACCATGGATTTGTCTGGTTTATTTTTCAGCATACCTGATGATTGACGCTTAAAAATTATTATAGCTCTATTTTTCCCTTCCCCCTCTATTTCACTGGTTAGGGCCTCCAGGGAAATGATGAATAGAAATGGTGAGAACAAGTGTCTTTTTCTCATTCTTGGTGTCAAGAAGAAAATCTCATTATTGTTATATCAATAAGTTTTCTGTAATTTTTTGTTTTTGTTTTAGATATTCTTTATTAACACAAAGGTGCTTCCCTTATTTACAATCAGAAAAGCAATTTTTCTTTCCCACCCACAATAAATTTTTAAATTTTAGGAGTTATTTTTCTACATCTATTGAGATGGTTGTGTGAATTTTTCTGTTTTATTCTTACTTAATGTGGTGAATTATAGTAGTTGGCCTTTTTGATGCCAACACAGCGTTGCATTACTGGAATAAACTTAAGTATTATTCATATACTATCACTCTGGATTTCATATGCTAAATTTTGATTGCTGCCTTTTGTGTTTATGAGAGAAATTAACTGATGTGATATCTTTGATTTCTCATCTGATGGGCATTCTGAACTTTCCATTCAATGGAATAGTTTGGGTAACATCGATGCTATATTTTTATTTTGCTTTTTTCTCTTAATATAAAAATGGTTTGAAGAATTTAAATCTGAGCTATGTGGACCTAGAGATTTCTTTGTGGGAGGTTTTCAATTACCACTGAATCTATTTAATAGATGTAGGATGATTTGGATTTTCAGTTTC